AGTCGCAGTCGCAGTCGCAGTAGGAGTAGGAGTAGGAGTAGTAGTAGTAGTAGTAGTAGTAGTAGTAGTAGGAGTAGCAGTAGGAGTAGGAGTAGTAGTAGTAGTAGTAGTAGTAGTAGTACCAAGTAGTAGGAGTAGCAGTAGGAGGAGGAGGAGACGGCGTCGCCGATGATGTAGATGTACTGGTTTGCAGTAGTCTTTGTAGTTTTTGCGGGTATGTTTTGCGGCGTCACCATGACCAGGACTCTCATGTCTCATGTTCTGCCGGATTCTTCGCAGGTCCTGTGCGAAACTCCAGGCCCGTGAAAGGGGCGCCTTCTTTCGGAAAGCCTTAAGGCACGGTTTCTCCACTTCCATGTCTGCGTTGGTGTAGGGTTTTCCGAGTAGCAGTTAGACATGGATACTCATACAACCCTAAACTTTGAGATAGGGCTTTCGGGAGCAGGGACTGCGAGTTTAGGACCCTTCGGTGTCCACACACGAAGCCTGCAGTAGGGACTATACAGATCATGAAAACAACAATCACGACCGCCCCTCCTCAGAGACATGCAAACATGTTATAAGCTAGCGATCACTACGTAATATAGGGGCAAAGGTAAGCAGAATAGGGGTTTGGGGCCCATTGCACTCTAATTATAGTAAGGAACCCCCAAACTAGTATTGGCAATAATTTAGGCCCCTACATTACTGCAAGGCTAGTGATCAAGACTGTGATGGTCGTCAGCGCCCTTAGTCTTGCTGTTTTCAAGCATCATGTCTGCTCGTACTAGTCTTGCTGCCATCGTTCTTGTTGTCATCATGACTGGCGTGCTTAATCATGTCTGTTCTGGAAAACTATCCAAAGTGCTGCTAAGCTATCGCTCATGCTTGTTATTCACCTTTACCATGTTGTCGACTTTGTGTCTGTGCCGCATACCATTGTCTGCTTCTTGCCAGGGCACCACTTTCAGCTGGTGCCTCGGCCGACGGTTTGGAGTCCGGACGGGAGGTGAGCGTTGACTCTTCATGGCTTCGGGTTGAGGGCTCCCAGTGAAGCAGCAGACGCTGATGCCTTCGAGCAGTCTTAGTTAAAGGCAGGGTGTGTAGAGTCAGAGCTTTCTTTCCTGACGAGCTGAGGGTGGTGTTACATATGATGAAACTGATGGAGCTGTTGCTGCGCTCAACCGTGGTAGTGATGATGCAAGCGACAGTGATGATGCGGGCGAGTTTGATGGTGATGGTGTTTGTGACAGTGTGACATGCTTGCCATGCCCTTGCCACGATAGTGATGATGTCGGCCTTTCGCGACTGTGAGGCCCGACGACATGACGACCGCCTATGACCGCCTCAAGCGGTTACCAGAAGGCTTATAGCATTTCATGACGACAAATTTCAAGGTGAGCATTGTCCTCGAGGTTATTGATGGTGGCGGTGGTGGTGGTGGTGGTGGCGGCGAAACCAAAGCACGAGATGTCAGTGCAGTTTCTCTTGATAGATGCGATCTTTGCTTTGCTGCAGCTGCCTTACACTGCTTGCTTGCAGGCGACAGCCGATTTAGCTTCCTGCGAACTCGGCGCAAAGCGTGGGCGCTGCCGGCCAGCTGTGCGCTCCCTCGACCAACCAAATTTGGTGCTCCGAAGGTCACCTGAGGCCGGAGTTTCACTATCAGAGTTTTGCGGTCCAAATGTAGTCGGGCGGATGCTTTATCACGGAATGTCCATGTGGATCCGTCTCGGACATCGTGTGTCTCGGTTCGCCTGTAAATCTTCAAACATGCACGTATGTAACCTTTGACTACCGTCGGCCACTGTTCGTCTCGATCATTAAGTCGCACCTGTTTCCGTTCAAAAACCTGACTCCGGGCAACTGATTATACACACCTACATGGCAATGAGTGACATAAAGAGTCTCATGTGGTGTGAGGTCGTACACAGTTGGAAGAGTGGTTCATAGATTAGACCCGCCCATGCATTAACGTGTACTTGTACAGATTTATGCGCATATATATATATATACAAATGTTTATGTACTTCTGTACGCACAAGTATGTATATGTGCATAAGTATATCTCTATATATATATATATATATGTACATGTAGGTTTGTATGCAAATGTGTATGTATGTATGTATGTATGTATGTATGTATGTATGTATTGTGCATGTATGTATGTCTGCATGTATGTACATGTACATACGTATACGTACATGCACATACATACGTATTGCGTACGTACAACATAATATGACTCATTCTCTGTGTCTTCATGTTCAGCTACACAAAGTACAGCTTTTGAGACATGGGTTAAAAACCGCACCGCTGACGGTGCGGGCCTGTCGGATGCCTTGTGCCACTGAGCCAGCACCAGCGTACGCAGTCGATTTTTCGAATAACATGCGGTCGGCCAGGGCGCACTGGCTTTTCGTCTTCTAGGTTAATCTTTCACTGATTTCCAAACCAAGTAACATAATGCTAGAACCAGCATGCCTAAACCGAAAATCAACATTAACTGAACCAACTCCCGCTCCACCGAGATGCAACTGTCAGGTCCTGGCAGGGCAGCTCCTTCACCCTCAGATCGAAACGAAATCTTCTGGCTTCAGGCTTTAGGGTTTAAGGGTTGGATTTTAGGGTACTAGGGTTTCGGGGTGGTTTGGTGAAGAAGCCCACAAGTGCCTCCGGAAACACAAATTGTTCTGTGGCATTGGCGCACATAAGTCAGGACAAGTTGCCGATGGTTCCCAGGAAGGGGCACGAGCCTGGGCACAAAGTTCAACGCACCCATGCTTGTTTACTCACTCCTCAATGCCCTCCACAGAGGCACGCAGCCCTTCCAAGAACAGAAGCAACACTTCGTCCTGTGGATAGGTGTGAAACACGTCGGACGCGCATGTACAGGCACTCTATAGGTAGCAGCATGTATGTGCATGTATATAATCTGTATATACATATACACACATGCATGACCGGTATGTAATGAATAAACACATATATATATATATATATGCTAGCCCCACCCCCCTGGACCAACCTTTCATGTGAAATCTTGTGCACTTTCCTAAAATTTACAAAAAATTCTCAAAATTCCAAAATTCCAAAAATTCCAAAAATTCCAAAAATTCCAAAAATTC